CTGCAAACCCTGCACCCTGGACATGCAAACAGGAGGACCAGAAATTCAGACTCATTTTCAGTTACAGAGTGAGTTTGGGGCCAGCTTGTGCTACATAAGACTCTCTTCCTCACACCCCCAAAATAAAAGCCTAGGGAGATAGCTCAGCTGGTTAAGTGCTTACTATGCACTTAACTCAGTTCATGAGGAACTGAGTTTGATTCTATTAGCATCATGCTGGTGGCACAGGTTTTTAACCTCAGTGCTGGGGAGGTAGAGCTGGGCAGATCCATGTACTTCACCTAGCCTAGTCGGTGAGCTGCAGACACACCTGACACCCTTAAATAAACAAGTAATGAATTAGAAGAAGAAATTGAAGTCAGGCATGGTAGTGCATATCTGCAAATCCCAGTGGGCGTGGAGGTAGGCAAATCTCTGAGTCTGAGGCCAGTCTACACTACATTTCAAAATTCTAGGCTAGCCAGGGCTAATTAGTAAGACCCTACCTTAAAAAACAACAAAACACAACCACAAAAACTAACAACAAGCGATTTAAAAAAGAAAAGGAAGAGGAAGATGTGGAAGTTGTGGAGAAAGTTTTCAAATAACTATTTCCATAGCTACTTGTCATATCCAGAGAGCTTCTTGAAGCTCTACGGCTCTAGGCTGGGGGCATTGACCAGTGGTCTTGTATATGCAAAGTAACGAATTCCATTTCTGGTAGAGAGCAAAGGAGTGGGCTGGGGATGTAGACTGATAGACTAGGATACACAAGGCCCTAGGATTCAATTCCTACCCTCTCAAAGAAAGAGGAGGAGCTGGGGAGGGGAGGAGAAAGAAAGAAATGAACCTGATGTGAGTTGTAATTACTCTCAAGAGCACGGTGTGGTGTAGTTGGGTGGAGAGATGACTCAGAGGTTAAGAGCACTGACTGCTCTTCCAGAGGACCAAGGTTCAATAACCAGCTCCCACATGGCAGCTCACAACTGTCTATAACTCCAAGATTTGACACCCTCATAACATATATACAGAAGAACATCCCCCATCAAATGACCTCTCTCACAAGGATGAGTTTTATGGCCTAGAAGCAATGCTCAAGTTTTAGGGGGAAAGGGTCTGTGATAAGTAAAACATAAAATTCTGGAAGATATGGCAGAGCCTGGCTCACCAGACAGCAAAGAATCACCAGGTTGTAGACTACATCTATAACTAGCATTCCAGGAGGAGGGCAGGTTAAATATGTTTCCTTTGAAAGATGCTTGCAAGTAGTAACTTATTTGTGCTCACAAGTACTTTTCCCCCTGTACACAAGTATGTCTGTGTTCCATGTGTGTGCCTGGTGCAGGTGGAGGCTAGAAGAGGGTGTTATATCCTGTGGAACTGGAGTTACAGATGGTTGTGAGCTGTCATGTGGGTGCTAGGGATAGAACCTAGGTCTTCTAGATGAGTAGTCTGTGTTATTAACTGCTTAGTCATCTTTCTAGCCCAACTTATCGGGTTTTGAGACCATCATTTTGGAGATCTAGGCTTTCCTTTTTCTGTATAGTCAATGCAGGGAGGGCTAACAGTAGAGGGTAGTTAGAGGGGAAAAGAGCAGAGTACTGAAGGGAGCCAGGAAAGTTCTCTCCAAAAGATGAAGGTCATCGATTTATAACTACATGCAAAGACAACTAACAGCAGCCTTGTAGATCATGGAGCAAACTCCACTGTCAAGTTGTTTAAAAACCTTACAGATTATCTTCTTAATTTTATGGTTATGCCTAGGATTATGAGACCAAGGATTCAATCCCCACCACTCATGTGCACAAACACATTCACACACATATATAGAATAACTGTAATTTTTTTAATAGGCAAGAGTCAAAACTTCCTACTTAATCCCACACTACTTCCCAAAAGTAAAGCAATATGGACTATACTATTTGAATATTCTGTGGCAGCCAAATTGAAAAAGTATGATTGGACAAGACCAGTCCCAGCAAAAACAAAGAATGGTTGTTGTTCACCTGTAATCTCAGCCCTTGGGAGGTTGAAATAGGAGGATCATAAAGTTAAGGTCAATTTAGGCTATATAGTAAGTCCTTGTCTCAGAAAAATGGGATCTATGTGAGTTCAAGGCCAGCCTGGTCTACAGAGCAAGTGCCAGGACAGGCTCCAAAGCTACACAGAGAAACTCGGTCTTGAAAACAAAACAAAACAAAACAAACACCACCCCCTGAAAAGGGAGTTCTTCTGTTAACATCTATATTGTTTTGTTTTGAGTCTCAATGGCTGTGGCTATATAGCTCAATGATATAGTACTTGCCTACCATGTAGAAGGCCCTAATTTAAATCCTACTTTCCCCCTGGCTCACTTAGCTTCCCAACCACTGCATTTGGCTTGAGGTTAATTTTTATGTTTCTTTGATATCAATTTTTGGAAAGCTGGCAAGTATTTTACCTTTAGCACATCTCAGTCTGCACTAAGC